AATTTTATTGCTATAAGTATCTCCTCTAATAAAGTGACTTATGCTCCTCAACCTTCTACTTTTTGATAATATCTCCACAGCAAGGTTTTGTAAGTTAAAATTAAAATTTTAGAATTTTCAATAACTTTTAATTTTTATTATTGGTGTTGTGTTCTCTTTTTATATCAAAACTAGAATTTATGTATCTAATTTAAGTGGAAATTAATATATAATAAAAATGCTTTCATATTACTCTAATCACTATATTTTCCAACTGTTTTCTGCAGTGTATCTGCTCTTCTTTTTCCTTCATCAACTCACTTTTATGCTTGGAGGCATGCTTTAGATTTCTTTATTGTCTTCCTTTCAGTGAAAGTCATAAACAAAACATAATAGTCTTTTTTACCTATTAACCATGTTGTCATATTTGAAAGCAAAGGTATCTATCACCCAACAGATCATTCTTTAATTATAAAAAAAATATGAAGAAATCTGTAAGATACTGCCTAAAACATTCTATGACACTTAAAGCCACCAAAATAGGGCACACTGACATCATGAGCCTCTTGATCATGATGGAGAAGGGCAAAAGATCACCTATATGGTGTCCCTGCAAAAAAAAAAAAAAAAAAAAAAAAGAAAGAAAACACTATAATCTAATAAAGGGGAAATAATATAAGTCCAAAAGGAAGGATTCTACGAAACAACTAGTATGGATTCTTCACCAACATAAATATTATAGACGAAAAAATGTCAAGGGAACAGTTCTAGATAAAAGGAATCTAAAGGAACACCACAAGTAAATGTAATGTATAATCCTTCATGAGATCTTGAATTAAAATAAATAAAGCTACACAGAAAACTATTTGAATATTTGGGAAAGTGTATGTCATAGCAAATATATCAATTTCATATGTGATAATTATATTGTCACTTCACTGGAGAATACCTTTATTCTTAGATGATGCATACTGAAGCATTTAGGGGTGACATGTGATGGCTGAAAGTAGCTCTCTACTAATTTTGCAGCTACAACATAAATACACACATACACATACATATGGCAAAATATTAACACTGGGTGAAGCCAGATGAAGGGTATATGGGTGGGTTTTGCAAATTATTATAGGTTTAAAAATTTTCAGAAAACAAAATTTGGTATGGAAAACAATAGTTATTATGCATAAAGGACTTTCTTAATAAATATTCTGTCCAAAAGTTTTGAAAGTAGATAACATTTTTATTATGTCGTAAAACTATTCATGATGAAAAGGAGAAACTTAAGAAAAAATGGCAGTAACATCACAATGTTAAAAAATATCCACAAATTGGCAATAATATACTTTCAAATTTCAATTAAATAGCAGCATAATTATAGTTAGATAAAATTACATTTTTCCTAAAGCCTTATAGTCAAATATCAAATTTAGTGCAACCTGCCTTCCAAGTTCACACATAAACTAAGATAATGCTTATATGTAGGCACTAATGTCTGACATTGATTATTAAAAGCTGCAATGTAGGCTTTACTAAGGCAAAAAAAAAAATATATATATATATATAAATGAAACAATTCAAACTTTAGTCAAATTTGGAAGACTCAGAAACATGAAAAAAACAGGATATTATTTTCTCAGGTTTAAAATTCTTAAGATTTTCCTTTTAGAATAGTTTAGTAAGATTGGCACCAACTCTTCTTTGAATGTCTGATAGAATTTAGCTTTGACTCCCTCTGGTCCTGGAATTTTGGGGGAGTTTTTTGTTTGTTTGTTTGTTTGTTTTTTTACTGTTTCAATCTCAGTAGTTGATAATGATCTGTGCAGAGTTTTTATTTCTTCCTGATTTAATCTAGGAGGATTATGTATTTTCACGAATTTATTCATCATCTCTAGATTTTCTATTTCGCACACATAAGGTGTTCATAGCAGCCTTGAATGATCCTTTGTGTTTCTGTAGTATCAGTTGTAATGTCTCCCATTTCATTTTTAATTGAGGTTATTTGGATCTTCTCTCTCATTTTCTTGGTTAATTTCACTAACGATTTTTTTTTTTTTTTTTTTTGAGACGGAGTCTTGCTCTGTCGCCCAGGTTGGAGTGCAGTGGCACGATCTCGGCTCACTGCAAGGTCTGCCTCCCAAGTTCACGCCGTTCTCCTGCCTCAGCCTCCCCGGTAGCTGGGACTACAGGCGCCTGCCATCACGCCCGGCTAATTTTTTTGTATTTTTAGTAGAGACAGTGTTTCACTGTGTAAGCCAGGATGGTCTCGATCTCCTGACCTCGTGATCCACCCGCCTCGGCCTCCCAAAGTGCTGGGATTACAGGCGTGAGCCACCGCGCCAAACTACAATTTTCTTTATATTTTCAAAGAACCAGGTTTTTGTTTCATTTATCTTTTGAATTGCTTTTATTTGTTTTAATTTCATTTAGCTCTACTCTGATCTTTGTTATTTATTTTCTTCTGCTGTGTTTGGGACTGGTTTGTTCTTGTTTCTCTAGTTTCCTGAGGTGTTACCCTAAATTCTCTATTTGTGCTCTTTCAGACTTTTTGATAGATTATTACAAAGTGGTGAGTAAACCGTATGTTAGATATGTCAAAGGTATTAGCCATGAATTCGAATCTTCATTGAAGTTAAAAAAATAAGGTTATACAAAAAAGTAGATATGCTAAAGAGAGAATTAGTGAATGCAAAATAGTATTTATTGCTATAAATTTTCCTCTTAGCATCACTTTTACCTTATACTACAGGTTTTGATAAGCTGTGTCATTATTATCATTCAGATCAAATAATTTAATTTCCATCTTGATTTCATCATTGACCCTAAGATCATTCAAGAGCAGATTATTAATTTCCATGTATTTGAGGTTTCCTTTTGGAATTAATTTTGAATTTTATTCCACTGTGGTCTGAGAGGATACTTGATACAATTTTGATTTTCTTAAATTGATTGAGACTTGTTCCTGGTCTATCTTGGAGAATATTTCATGTGTTGATGAAAAGAACATATATCCTGCAGTTTAGGGGCAGAATGTTCTGTAAATATTTGTTAAATCCATTTGTTTTAGGGTCCATTGTTTCTTTGTTGACTTTCTGTCAACAAAGACCAATTATTCTTAGGTTTAGCCATTTAACGTATTTCAATATTTCTTGAAGGCTTTTTTAATTTTTTAAAAAATTCATTTTTCTTTGGCGTCATCTGATTGAGTTAATTTGGAACTCAGAGCATAAATGCATATTTTGGGTTAATTACGATTAAAATTAAATTATATAAAGATAGAGTAAGATTTGAAGAAATTAATAATGAAGACAAAATGTAAATATTATTAAAATCTCTTAAACAATCTTTGTGTCAAAACTGCTGTTTATGAATGTATTAAAATTCTGTGATGTCAGTAATTCCTATGGGAGAAATTTCTAGAAGTAAAAGTTGCATAAATTATTACACAGTGGTGAGTAAACCGTATGTTAGATATGTCAAAGGTATTAGCCATGAATTCGAATCTTCATTGAAGTTAAAAAAATAAGGTTATACAAAAAAGTAGATATGCTAAAGAGAGAATTAGTGAATGCAAAATATGAAAAACTTACAGACATGAAAAGAAAGAGAAAATTCAGTGTACCCCTAAGGAATAGACTGTAAGAGAAAATGGAGGAAGCAAAGGTAGAGGTGAAGAATGATTTAAATAAAAACGGGAATAATTTCCAGCGTTAGTGAAAGTGCATATATTCATATTCAGTAAGATGAGTGATTTCTAATAAAAATTAATAAAAATTATACTCCTTAAAAATCCTATTAATATTACTGCATATTGCTTATTAACAAAAATTATACTTAGAAATCATTAGACAATCCACTTAAAAGTTTAATTTTATAATATAGAACAGAAGACAAAAATAAACAACATATAATATGAAAAAGTTTACACAATTACAGGTACTGACTAATTAGAATACACTTCCTATGTGTTTTCCATTCACTTGGGTTTTATTAACTCCTATAATTAGCTGTTATAAGAGAAGGAGAGAAGATGCACATCATAATTGCCTTGGTCTGGTAGTAAAACACATCCTGCTCCTCATGATCCATTGACAAGAGCTTGTTAGATGTCACACCTAACTCAAGAGAAATGTAGTCTGACCCTATGTTCAGAAAAAAAAAAAAAAAAAATTACTGGAGATATTTGTCATGAAGAACTAGTAGGCTGTGCCAGAAAAGTGGACTAAACCAGTTCTGAGATTGTATAACTTGTAAAACTCACTCAGATACAGATAGTAAATCTAAATGATAATAAAACCATTGAACACATTGTATTACTAATTAAATTGTAACTCCAGATGGTTAAGTCCATAAAACTTCAAAGATAAGTTCTATAAACATTTGACAAACAGATCCCTTTAAAAAATTATTCTGGATATTAGAAAAACAGAGGAAACACTAAAGCACTAAAGAGTTTTTTTGTTTGTTTTTGTTTCTGTTTTTTGTCTTAAAAGGGGAAAGAAAAACAAAGAAAGAAAAAATTAAAAACGGAAATTATAGACAATTTTAAACATGAGTACAGTGGGTTAAATACAGTACTACCAACCTGCAACACATGCATTTATAAATGTACATACATGTATTAATTATCCACAAATAGATATTTTATATTCAGATACAATTATATACCTTGTCAGATACTTAGCGAATCTCTGCTCTCCTAAGTTTGTACGCATATATTCTGCACCTTACTTTTCTCTCTATTTTCCTTATTTCACAATCAAAGGAAGAACTACCATGTCTGCTAGTATACAGATGTATCGAAACTGCATTTCTATCTACTGAGTGATTTTGAATATTACGTGAAATACGAAATGCAAAATTCTTAAAACAATTGGTGACCTTTACCGAGTTATATTTATCTTGATTATCAGTCTCAGTTTAGATCTGTTCTAGAAGATTGTCCTAATGTTTTGAGTAATGTTATGATACATATTATTTCATGTTTTAAAAAGAGTTTCATAATTATCTTTGCTTATGTTTAGGCTGCTTGGAATTAAAAGAGGACACCATTGAGAACCTTCTTGCTGCAGCATGCCTTCTTCAGCTTCCACAGGTGGTGGAAGTGTGCTGCCACTTCCTCATGAAGCTTTTGCATCCATCTAACTGTTTAGGAATTCGAGCCTTCGCAGATGCTCAAGGATGCATTGAATTAATGAAGGTGGCCCACAGCTACACAATGGTAAGGAAACTTAATCTTTTAATAATGGAGACATACTCTGTGTTATCAGAGGTAAAAATAATGACTGTCATGGCATTAGCAAGTTTTTAGCGTTTACAATGAGTTTTCTATGCTTGGCACATTTTTTATTATGAACTATAGTGTACCATAATGTATATTCTAATTTTAAAAAACACATTCTTTACTGGATTTATTGTTCTTTTGTAGATTTATTTTTTATTTCATTTTACATTTATTGGTTTATTATAAAAGATATTGCAAAGGATACAGATGGAGAGATGTGTAGGGTGAGGTATGAGAAGAGGGGTGCACAGGCTCCAGGCTCTCCCTGGGCACACCATCCTCCAGGAACCTCCACATGTTGCAATCAGGAAGCTTCTTTATGGCTTTATGCACACTTAACAGGCAATACAGATAGATAGATAGATAGATAGATAGATAGATAGATAGATAGATAGATAATTAATAAAGCTATTTAAACTGATTTTCAAAATTGCCCCAGGCCTATATACCTTTGTACATTCACTTCCACAGCTTCCCTTTTATACACTTTTTCCGCATTTTTCAAACCTCTCCATCACAGCATATTACATTGAGTGTGGCTATGCCAGTATGATTTTATGGAAAAAATTTAAGCCTATTTTATATGTTTTCCCTTTTATTCCCTGTATGTGTGTGTGTGTGTATATATATATGGATGTGCATATTTAACAGCTTTATAGAGAATCTAAAAGTCATTTCAATTGTACAGTTTAAATTTGTATACTTTATAGCATGGAATTTTTAAAATATTAGTTCCACTCTAGGATAAAATAACCAGTTATAAGTCTCATACTCATCATATTACCTATCCTAGAAATAATCATTCTAAAAGCACTGAATTAGAGTGAGTGCCTGGCGGAGAGGCCCTATATCAATGCTACCCATTTCTACTGTGATATTATTATTAATATTATTAATGTTTTCATTGTTATTATTGAAACAACCAGTAAAGTCTTATGGAAATTTTTCTGTCCAACTCAAAGAAAGAATTAAAATGAGATAAATATTGTTAAGCTTTATGGTTGCTATTTATTTCAAATTGAACACTTTTTCTAATCGCTAATGAGTCAACCACTTAAAAGTATTCTGATTGCCATTTTGAAACAGAGTTTCAAAATTATTTTCTTTTTCCTTTTTAATCCTTTAAGCAGGTTACTAAATTAAATGAAAATATAGAAATAACAGGATGAAGATACATGATTTGTAATTCTATTGTCAAATCCTTCTTTAGAAGTTTTCCATGACAGACACGATGCTACCTTTGAAATTATATGAACCATAGCAAATCAAGGTAAACAAATAATTCATCAACCAAAATATCAAAGTCCAACTGCCACCGTTTAATTAGGCACATTTCATTACCTTTAGGAGCTCCTGGCTTAACTAAGCCAAAGAACAATATGCCTCCATATCCAGAGGGATAATGGTCCCTTCTGGTCTAATTTCAAATTATTAATTTAGTAATGAAAATGTTTTCCTTGCAGCTGCTTGGACTGTTCTGCAATTTATCACACAATAGTAACACATGTTTTTCTTCAGAGACTTTAAAATGTATGCTTCATAGGAAAATATATTTAAAACAGAAATATAGAAGATTTCTAAGGTACTCAACATTCTGAATGACTCTATATTAATTTATTTCTTAGACTGTGACATATAATATCTGCTGAAATTTAAATGATTTTGAATTATTTTGAAAATCTGGTGCACTGGTATTCTATAGATGTTTACGGTAACTATTTTACAGAAAAATTACTGACCACTTTTCTTCCCAGATCTATATTGTCCCTTCAGTTCCAGCAGTTTAAAATGAGTGTTTTGCATCTGATAATGTGATTTCTCATCACATATTTGCCTCTGATCCTTGTCCAATCAGGCATATGTTCTCATCTAATCTACCCAATCTGTGCTTTGAAAGCAAACATATTGTGCTGTTTTTTTGTTTTTTGTTTTGTTTTGTTTTTTTGTTGTTGTTTTCTCCTTAACTGCTTTAACAGCAAATCATTCCATGTATTCTACTGCATGCACAATAGAATTAACTTCTCTCTTGACTATAATTATTTGTCTGATTGCTTAATACATAAGTAACACTTCTAAAATTTTTAAATTTCTTGCCCAAACTCTTTAGATATAAACTTGATCTTCAGAGACCAAAGGTCTGGTCTACCCAGAACTTAATTTGCTGCTTGTGTTTCTCTTCTTCAGTATTTATCATCTTTCCTTTGGCAATTTCACTTATGTATTTGGCTTCAGCTACTGATTTTGTACAAATAATTCCAAAATCTTTCGGGAAGGTGATCCAGCTTGGCAATGAATCATGTGCAAAATACTGGAGAATTTTGATTGCAAGCTCAATATCAGGTAGAAGTGTAAAATTAATTCTGAAACATTAATGTAACTATGTCTGCATGAATATAGAGATAGTGCCAAAATAACATCACTGAAGGAAATAGTCTCATTGTACTCTTATATTACATTATGAAACCTGTGCTTAATTCTGGATATAACATTTTAAAAACAATCGAGAGTGGCAAACGGAAACAGATTAGAATAACAAGAATAGTAAATTTTATGTGATTGTGTACTATGAAGAAAAGTTGAAAAAATGGCTGCCTATGCCAGAATAAAATTAAGGCATGACAATGGCTGTCATATATTTAATAGAACGGACTTGTGTTCAAAGCAGTGGTGTTTAAGTGTTTCTCATTCTGTTTTTAAATTTATTTTACTAATGCAATTCTCTGTTCAAATTAAATATTATATCAAAGTATCATTTTCGAATTGATCTGCTTTGGGTAAAGATGGACAAAAAGTCCAGAGTCTCCTTCCATCTCCCGATCTTTCCTTGCCTGCTGAGTTTATTTCCACTGATCAGCATTGCTACTTCCCTCCAAAGTCAGCTCTGCCTTTTGGAGGACACACGTGGAACATTTTTATCCAGCAATCCTTTCTCTAGACGGTTCTGGGTTAGAACTTACCAATAAGAGGCATTCATATAAGATATGAAAGCTAGAAGAGAAGCAGCAGCCATTATTCTCCACAGGCAGTTGGAGGAAGATGTGTAGGCAAATGGAAAAGTAAAATAACTTACAAGCGAGTTATCAAAGCTATTGACCCCACTGTTGTAGGCTGACATCATTGTTGGGAGGCCTCTGGAGGTCCTTGAGGAATGCAGTGTCTTTGCAGAGTGCTTTTGAGAAAATTCATGTTGAAATGAAGTTTGAAATCTTTAGTAGAAACTTCCCTGACCTTCATAGTTTTTTCAATGGCTGTTTAAACCTTCAATTCTCTATTCATATCTTTTAAACTTAGAACATTGAGTGTTTTATTTTCTTAATTACAAAAAATATTCAGAATATACCCCAACATAGCATGTATGTTCAATCTCCATATATATACACATATATATGTATGTGTGTGTGTGTGTGTGTGTGTGTGTGTATATATATATATATATATATATTTTTTTTTTTTTTTTTGAGACAGAATATCACTCTGTTGCCCAGGCTGGAATGCAGTGGCGTGATCTCAGCTCACTGCAACCTCTGCCTCCCAGGTTCAAGCAATTCTCCTGTCCCAGCCTCTCAAGTACCTGGGACTACAGGCGCTTGCCCCCACACCTGGCTAATTTTGTATTTTTAGTAGAGATGGGGTTTTACCTTGTTGGTCAGGCTGGTCTTGAACTCCTGATCTTAGGTGATCTTCCCACCTTGACCTCCCAAAGTGCTAGGATTACAAGCGTGAGTCATCACGCCTGGCTTCCATATTCTTTTATACATAGTCCTCCATACCTAGCTTCTAAGCTGCTACCCAGACATTTTTTCTCAATATTAGATGCAGTTGCTCTCATTCCTGCTAAATATGTGTTGTATAGTTCCTTCACTGTTACTTAACTCAGATATTTCTCTTGTTGGAATCATTATCAAATTCTGAATAATCCTTCCCTGTTTCTAGTTCAAGTTCATTCATGCCAAAGAAATATCTTTAAACTTCTCATGGCATTACCTCTTACAATTGAAATCTTAGTATTCCTTTCTTTAGGATTGTGTGATATCATCATAAACTTTCTTATACAATTAATTATTTTTATTTCTTTGTGACTAGTCTTTACAAATACATTGCAGATTTCTTTATGACAAGAGAAGAAGCCTTATCCGTTGAATTTTTTTATTCCATCAAAGTGTCTAGTATCTTGTAATACGTTCATCAATTTCCTGTTTCCCTTGGGTACTTTTGTAGAGCTTTCTTTAATGTACTCATTCAACAAGACTACAAGTGTGTGCCTTTGACATTTTTTTAAAATCACACTTTCTGCTATTATTTTCCCTGTTCATACAGTTCTAGTCACATTGACCTTCTTACTGTTTTTTGACGACACTAAGCATAACTTCACTTGTGGAGTTGTGTGCTTTTTCTTTCTTCCCTCTGATGGAAATACTCTTTTGCCAAATATTTATATCTGTTTCTTCTCTACCTCACTCAGATCTCTGTCAAATGTTACTTCCATAGAGACCCATTCTCTGAAAACTCCATGTAATGTGCCAGTACCTTCAAAACTCTCTATTCCCTTACACACCTTTACATTTTTTAAGGTACTTATTTAGTTCCTGGCTTTACAATATATATTTGTTTTTGTTTTTGTTGTCTACCTGCCCAATTAATATATAGTAGCTTCTTGATAACATTAAAAAACACTTTTATAACATAAGTGCCTAGATAAATCTCCATATATACTATTAATTACTAAATGAATAAGGGAAGGTATAGTGACTATTGACTGCTATGTACCAAGTTCCCTGGGTGCTACCAGTAGGTGGCATAGGGAATGCAGTAGTGAACAAAATAGAAATGATATTGCCCTTAGAGTCAAGGTTAATATATTGAATGAAAACAAATTATCGTTACAAATTATAACTATTTATGCCTACATATGTGTGTATGTATAAATGTGTGTGTAT